CAGGTGACATAATTGGCTTAGGAATGTCCTAATGGCCTCTATTTCTCCTTCAAAAGCGGATCTATAGTGTCATACTACTGCATAGAAAGAGAAGAGTTCAGAATAGACACCTGCAATAATGTTTGCTTGGTATGTTTGTTTGGTATGTATGGCCCATCAGTGAAGACTTGGAGCCATTGATCTCCAGGATAGTTGACCTTGATTGTCTCAAGGGCCAGTGAGCACATTTGCTCTGGAGGGGTGTTTGATTTTTTGAAGAAGTCAAGCAGTTGGGTGCAATACACTACATCAGTGTGTGCTAATGGGTTCATGGATAGAGTGAGGCTTTTTGGTTTGTCATCGATTTGTTATTCTTTCTTCAGTACTATGGCTTTCTGTATTAGACCGGATTGCGTTTTCAGATGTCTTGGTCTATTCTCATAGGTGCTGAAGAACTTATCCATGGGTATGCGCAGTAGCTTCTCATACAGGATCAAGGCCTTTTCTTTGATAAGGGAATATATTGTGGTGCTTCCTGTAACTAGGAGCATCGCATCAATGGGTGTTGATTTTATCTCTCCATTAATTAGTCGTAATGCTTTTTTTTGTGCCTTCTCGAGTAATTTGAGAGTCACCTCTAAGGCTGTAAGGAGTGGCTTTCAGCAATACAACATTATTGGCTGAATAAACATCTTGTGAGTGATGTCGTGAGTTGATCGTGCATAGCACCACACGCTACCAGCAAGACGCTTCAGTACATTCAGTCTGTTGGCCTTGTAGGTGGTGTTGAGAGTTGAGCGCGCACAGCCCCATATGTAAGTGGTGTTTAGAGTTGAGCGCGCACAGCCCCATACTTACCAGCAAGACGCTTCAGTACATTTAGTCTATTGGAGACCCCAGCAAGACGCTTCAGGACATTCAGTCTATTGGAGACGCAAGACGCTTCAGTACATTCAGTCTGTTGGAGACTCGTTCCGCAATTTTAGTAATGTAAATTTTTCCACGTTAGCTTAGTGTCAAACGTCAATCCGAGATATGTGAACTCATTGGTTCTTTCTAGGGTCGTATCCTTGTACCTTAGAAGCGGGTTTGTGCTGTGACGGACCAAAGAAAAAGTTTGGAATGCAGTTTTCGCGGTGTTGATCACCGTTCCATTGTTGTCGCACCAGTTTTCTAGTGCACAATTTAGGTCACTTTCCATCCGCTCCGGAGCGTTTATCTTAGGGGCGGAATACCATAGAGCAAGATCAACAGCATTAAGTAAGTACTTGATGCCCGTGACTGTCTCTACCAATTCGGCTATATCAATGATGAAGACATTGAAAAGAGTGCAGCTTGTGACAGCTCCCTGTGGAAGGGCTGTTTGTAAAAGATAGGATTTTGATAGAGCATTTCCATATCTGACTTTACACGATCTTTATCCAATGAATGATTTCATCCAATTTGCATGTTATGCTTAATACCAATCTTTGCCAATTTTAGAATTAGCTTCTCTTTCCATACTAAGTCATATGCTGATTTGAAATCGACGAAAACAGCCGTAAGGGTATTTCCTGCATCAAGGGCATCTTTGATGTGTTGGGTGAAAGTGGCTACTTAATGGTTCGTTGATCTTTGTGGCCTAAAACGTGCTTGTTCACTCCTAAGAGTATTGTTGGTCTCAAGGAACCAGATCAGTCTCCTGTTAACCATTCTTTCCATAAGTTTAGCCAGAACGCTTGTGAGGGAGATATGCCTATAGTTGTCAAAGTTGCTAGGGTCTTTTCTGTTTTTAGTACTGTTATTACTATGGCAACTTTCCATTGACTAGGTACGAGACTGGTATCCCAGATTTTGTTGAAGAGTGTCAGCATGGTTTCCTTGGCATTTGGTACCATTCTAATTAGAAATTCCGGATGAATATCGTCTTCGTCAGGAGAATTTTTGCACCTGAGCTGTTTTATCGCAGCATTAAGTTCCCAAGGTCTGAATGGTTCAGTAAGTACATTATTTAGTGTTGTCGTGTCTTCCTTAATTTCACAAAACTGACTTACTTGTATCTTTAAATCTCTTGAAGATTTTCTGACAAAAGGGGTTTTCTTTTGCTTGTGGAAATAGAACCCTGCAAAACGGTTAGCTATTTCGGAGTCGGTGGTAAGCAGTTTGTTTTTTAAACGTATTGGTTCTTTCTTGGGTCTTTCCTTGTTTTTTGGGAGGCTACCCAGGACTTGGAAAGTGCGTTGGCTATCACTTTGATAGTTGATATTCGAGATGAAGTTGTCGAAGGAAGTGCGTTTAGCTTGTAAGATGGCTTGACTTAGGACAGCTGATTGTCGTCTCCAGGCTCGTACGTCTTCAGTTATTCCAGTCGGATCAAAAGTGGTGCGAAGGGCGTCCAGCTTTCTCTTTAGTTCCTCAAGGTGTTCAGACCAAAGCACTCGATAGTGTTTAGTCTTGCATCGGGGAATAGTTTTCTTTGCACATCTGATCATAATATTCGTGATATCATGGCAAAGTTTGTCAGGATGTTGGTTGAAGTTGAGGGGACTTGTGTGAAGTTCATTCTCTAAAAGGTTTATGAATCTAGGCCAATCAGCCTTCTTGAAGTTGCATGATAGCTTATTTGGCACTTATTTGTCATTCTTTTGCTGCCGATGGTAATACTTGCAATGACTGGTTTGTGACCAGAACCAGGATCGTCAATTATTTTGCGGTGACTGGTTTGTGACCAGAACCAGGATCGTCAATTATTTCACGGACTGGTTTGTGACCAGAACCAGGATCGTCAATTATTTTGCCTGTGACCAGAACCAGTCATTATCAAGAGTAAATCAGGAGTTGTTCTGGATCCATTGCAATGCAACATGTAGCCGGATCCTCATTGCTATAAATAAGTTCCAGAATGTCAGAGTGTTGTAGCCGGATCCTCATTGCTGTAAATAAGTTCCAGAGGGTTGCTGTTTAGCATGTCTTCGATTTCCTTTCCAGCTATGCTTGTATCCTTGTAGACCCATCTGGTGGTGGAATGGGTGTTGAAGTCTCCTAATACTACTTTTGTGTTGGAATGGGTGTTGAAGTCTCCTAATACTACAGTTTCAGTCGAAGTTGTTGAAGTTTTGTGTGAGATGTTCAGAAAGTCAAAGTTGGGACGCTGGGGTGGATTATAGACTGCATTTATCTTGAAGTGGTTTCGGCATTTCCAAACATTTAATCTGATTATTTCGTAGATGTCTTGCGTCGAGCCCATACTCTTGATTAGTTCGTAATGTGAGGTGAGGCCTTCATTAACTCCAGTCAGAATTCCACTTGCAACTTGCCGGTATTTAGGTAGAAAGTACAGGGTGTAACCTGGGAATTGGTATTACTTCAGTTTGTCATCCGAAAGGTTTGATTCCATAATTGTGAAAATGTCCACATCATAGGTTTGTAGGATTTTCTGAACTTGGATGTTTTTGTCCTGTGACATCTCTCCACCATTTCACTGAAGGATCTGTAGACGTTGTGATTCGCCCTGACGAGGGCGATTTCTCTTATAGCCTTTTTTCAAGCTAATCATAATAAATCGAAGTCAAACCAAATGCCGAGTGATAGACCTTTTTGCCGTACGAAGATACGTTGTCTAGGGTGTACCACATGGAGGTAAGTCTATCGCGCACCCCTCAAAAAAATTATGCATGTCCTTTTTTTCAATAATTTCCAATCATTTAGTTTTAACTGATGTAAATGAAAAAACGAATTCCTAATCTTATATTCCAAAGCTAAATTTAGCATTTATCAACTTTCTACTTTCTAATTGGGCTTCTAACTTGCATCTGATTATTACAGTATTAAAACTTGACTTGGTAATGCCTTTGGCAAGAACTCAAATTATGGAACGGCCGAGATGATTGACTAACCTACATCAACTGTATATGGAGGAATTAGACCTGTGG